CGCCGCCGGCCTATAGCCCGGGGGCTAACGGCGGTGGCGGGGGCCTTTCCTCTCTCCTGCCCCATGGGGGTGGTGCGGAGCCCCGCAGCCTGGGTGGCACGGCCGATCTGGCCTTGGTGGCGCAGCGGGCTGCCTTCCGGCAGAGGCGCGGCGGCTGCCTCGGCCTAGGGCAGCGATGGTGGCGGGTGCGGCAGCCAGCCCTACTTCGGGCAGCGACGGCCGGGTCTGCGGTGACAGACCATCTGACCTCGGATCTGCGGTGGCGGCATGGAGGGCCTGGTGGTTGGGCCGGCACCATGCGTGGTGTGCCCTCCGGACAGATCTGATCTGGCCGGTGCGGCCTGCTCGATGTGCGGCGGCTCAGATCGGCGGCGCCCCGTGCACACGATGCTTGATGGAGGTTCTTCGAGCGGATCCGGGTGAAAACCTCGTGCTCGGCTTGATGCCAAGACAGGCGTTGGCGGCACCCTTTTGTGTCATTACCTTCTTGAAGACATCGCCGTGGAGAAGCTCCATACCTCTATCCACTACCTCCGGGGGAAACCCTAAATCAGTAGATCGGATGACGGCGGCGCGTTGGTGTCGTTTCCTCATGGGGACGTCATTCTTGGAGGCGTACACGGGATCGAGGGACTAGTGGGCGGCTTTTTTGGTGGAGCGGTGCTTCATCCTACACGCTGATGACGGCGGATCTCGGCGGCGTGGTGCAGTGGAGACTCGGCGCCCGATGCGCGGTGATGGACTCGCGCAGGAGGAGGCAGTTGTCTGGCGTCATTGGTGGCGTCGATGGCAGAGTGACCTGACAAGGTAGAAGCCTCAATATCTGCTCTAAAGACGGACATGTGGAAGATGGCGGCGACGACACATGTGAATGCGTTAGACCAGTTTATGCCCTAGACCCGGTATGTGGCTCGGCTGGGGCTTCTGGCTTTTGATGATAGGCTTAGGTGAGTGGTCCGGGTATTTGGCCCAGGTAGCACCCCTTCATCATATGGATAGGAGTAGTGGCATATGTTGCGAAGATGGCGGATTCAGGCATATTCTTGTAATACTTTGTAAGGTCCTCAAGAATAATCAATAAAGTGGCCGTATGCATCTCCCAGATGCAGAGACCGGGGTTTATCCTCCTTTTCTAAAAAAAAAACACCAATGGCATGAGAAAAGGTGAGAACTTCGAAGGCCTAAGCGATCTTGGTGAGCACTTTCTTATGCTTGTTGAAACCAAGGAGACATATTATGCATGATGTGGTCTACTCCCTTCTCAAATTAGTATTGCTTCTGCGTATTTTCTGCAATCAACTTACTCAAGCTTAAGTTGAGAAATATCATTGGTGATACTTTTTTTGGATTGTTGTCTAGTAACATTAAGTTGGGCCTACCTAGGTCTACCACTCTCTTCATTAAACTACCCTTTCAGGGTCTTTTTTTTTGGACTAAGCCCAAAAAGATTGTCACAACTAACAGGTTATAAGATATACCTGGAAGTGCTACTTGAGCACCCAACGTGTCAGCTATTATGGTGTCACTATGGATATTTAAAGGCATGTCAGTATTTACACCATCGCCATGGGCGGCCGCCTTCGGTAGCCTCTCAGTAGAGAGGCACCTTAGCGATATGTCTTTCAATGTTAGTCTCTTCGGTCGATCACAACTAACTGGTGGACTTGTGGCTCGTCATTTAGCGGTGAGTTAACATTGCAATCATCTACGAGTTATCGCAGGCTCATCAGTGATGGTCGCCTCCACTAACAGGGTGACCTAGGCTTGTCGGATTCTCAAAAAAGCCTAGGCATGTCGGTGTTGACTGGTAAGCTACAATGTTTTTCTATCGTAATGCTTGAGCCAAGTTGCCTGGATTCTTCAATAAAAACCACCAAAGTCGATTGTCATATAACTAGAATTTTTACTGGCCTTCCGTGATTAACCTGAGGACGATTTGAACCACTAGGTATGTTTAGACCAAAACTAGCTCATCCTACAAATTATTTGGCCATGACTACAGATTTGGTATCTGTTAGGATGATTGCCAGCTTTGTGGCCTACAATGGATCTTTCTCCACTCCAAATGGCTCAGGCCGCGCCTTTGCTCCCTTGCTATCTTGTCGAAGTTCCCCTAGGCAGCGTAACACTTGAGCAGTCGCCGGAAAAAAAGGGTAACACCTGGCCAACACAATGAATCATCCAATCTTGGCTGAGCACGCAGCTCCTGTTGTACTATTGTTAGGGCTTCTTGAGTGCGGTCCGTCAAATTGTCCTTAAGCATCCGTGGCCGCGCATTTGCACATCAATCACTATGGTGAGTAGGAGGTCTTTTAATTTAGCATTGTGCATTTGGACCCAGGAGGGGAAAGTTTTTCCTTTCCAAATCTGCTAGGCGATCGGGAGGATATGGTCTCTGATGCGTGCGCGCGGGCGCACACGCACAACAAAAGCTATCGACCGCGCACCAGAAACTTTTAAAGCGACGCAGGTCTCATTGTCTGTGGGCTCTCCTCTGATGGGCGTGGCGCCAAAGATGCATGGTCCTAGCTAGCTAGCTTTGTCTCACTCGCGTGCATCGGCGTCACCTTTGTCTCAAGAGCAACAGGACACGTTGGGAATATTTTGCTCAGTAAATACTCCCACTTAAAATGCTGATGCGTCTTGTGATATACTCTCTCCGTTCTGATGTATTGGTTCCCTTTATATTTTATGTCAGGTTTTGATCAAAGATTAAATTAATGATATTATTTTTTATGAAATGCATTCATATTTTATTAATTAAATCTGTGATCAAAATATGACACACAATAGGGACCAATAAACCAGAACGGAGGTAGTACAAGGGGTCGTACTTACATGAGGCCGCTTTATTACATCTGTCCCAGCACTAGAATCCTTTGGAAGGACAGTAACTTTATGCCTGCATGGATGATTCCGGGATGCAGCCTGCTGCCATCGAGGCCTACTACGGTGTCGCACTCGCGCTCGGGCCAAGTCCGAGAGCGTGACCATGCT